AATTCATATGATGTAGGTACGCATTTCTAGTAACCGAATTATTTAATGTTCTGTAATCAATACAAACACAGTATTGAAAATAGTGGTAATCAAAAAGGACTAGGAAAAGTAAGGGGGGGGGGGGGTGGAACCTCAAGAGAAACCAGGCTCAGTTGGTCACCTTTTCTCCTCTGGCCAAACTTTATAACTTAGTAAAACTATTAAGTTAACTTAATCGAACAGTGTAGGGTCCTCTCAACCTTGAAATTTAATAACACTGAAATTGCACTTACAGCAAACTTTTTGTAGGAGTCCACTTTATAAGAATTTTGACTGGCATTTATAAACCAATGATTTTTCTATATGTTAAGGCTATTGATTACTAAAACTGTAATTCTTTTTCTACTGAATTCTACTACAAAGAAAAATGTTACAATGAATGCTTGTGAATGTTTGCATCTCAACAAAGTTGAGCATAAAAATGTAAATTTCATTATGTGATTACATTAAACAGTGCTATTGAATTACTAGTATTCAAAATAAATAATGAGTGTTAGATGATGGTAATATTCATTCGTTTTCTTTTTCAGCTTAGTCCCTTTATTAATCAGGGGTCGTCACAGTGGAATGAACCGCCAACTTATCCAGCATATGTTTTTCGCATCGGATGCCCTTCTAGCTGCAACCCATCAATGGGAAACATCCATACACAATTATTCAAACACATGCACAACGAACGATTTAGCTTACCCAATTCACCTAAAGCACATGTCTTTGGACTAGTGGGGAAACCAGAGCACCCGCAGGAAACCCACACACAAACATGGGGAGAACATTCAAACTTCACACAGAAATGCCAAGAGATCCAGCCGAAGCTGGAACCAGCGACCTTCTTGTTTTGAGGCTACATCATTACGCACTGCAGACTGCAACACCCCACCAACCATGATGGTAATATATTACAGTAAAAATAGAGAAAATGAGCATGTAAAATTTAGATATTCCAATATTTATGGAAACAGCAAGATTATATGATTGCACTTTAAATATTAATTTGTATGAATTAATTTGATTGCAACTGTTATGACATACTTGGGCGGTTCATTCCGCTGTGGCGACCCCATGTAAATAAGGGACTAAGCTGAAGGAAAATAAATGAATGTAACATTTCTATTATATCGTTAAACAGAAATAGGAACACCAATTCTCTCTATTAAGTAGTTGATTAATAACATGCATATTACTTGCATATTGGTTTTATATTGATTTAAAAGCACATATTAAAGCCTTATTCTCCATGACAATATTTGATTCCATAACCATTCCCCATACTACACCTTACAACCACAATCTAACTTTTATAAGCAGCAAATTAGCAGTGTATAAAATCATAGTTAATGATGAGAACTGCTCTCTAAACTAATCTGTGAAAAAAGGACAAAATAATTAACGCATGATGGCTCCAGCAGTCCCCCACAGTCCAAAGACATGTGGTATGGTGAATTGAAAAAGCTAAATTGGAAGGGCTGGAAGGGCATCCGCTGCATAAAATATATGCTGCATAAGTTGGCAGTTCATTTCACTGTGGTAACACCTGATTAATTAACGGACTAAGCTAAAAAAAATGAATGAATGGTGCCAGTAAGGAAACAAAAATTTTAGTCAAAAATGAGAGAGACTGTATCAGACATGTCTCAATCCTTATTTTGTACCTATTAATGCCCTTTTTTTGTTTTATTATAATTTAACTTTTATGTTGGATGAATCTCGGGTTTGTTGTATAAAGTTCTAAAGCTAAAATTTTCAATAAATGAAAAAATAATAATGAAAAAAAAATAGAAAAAAAAAATATATATATATATTTGTATCTTTGCGAAAATTGGTTAATAAACTCAATTACTCACCTTTCATTTTTCATAAACAAATAAACAGAATCCACAAAAAAAAAAAAAAACAGAATTCATTGGGCTCTAAACAACCTCTTTTCTATTAGTGATTCAGAAAAATAAAGTGCAAAAACCTAGGTAGCACTTGTGATGGGCCAAAATTGGCTTCTGATTGATCTCAGTTTTGTCACATGCCCTGATGTTCACCAAAAAAAGGAAAAAGAAAGAAATAATTGGACTTCTACTGTGTGTTATTGGTGCAAACAGATACTGTACCATTCATTTCCGATGCACATATTCACACAGACTGGCCACTTTCCAGCATGGGACAGAATAAGATGGCCATCATACTAAATACATGCTAATACAAGCCTGATCAAACATCTTTTGTCCTTGGAGATCGCAGCTCTGCCAAAGACTGACAATACCAAACCCAACACAAAAAAACACAACCTGGCCACAATGATCTCTCCATACAGCTGGAGGACATTAGAATATGAATAACTGTCAGGAAATGCAACAGCTGAGCAGACGAGGTTTAAGCTACAACCTGAAGAGGTTTTTTTTTCGTTTTTTTTTTAAGGCCTTCCCTGCCAGCCTTTTCCAGTCTCTAAAAAAGTATTTATACAAAGGATAAAATATCATTAATGAAAAAGCGGCAGCTTGTAAACATCTGTCCAGCTGCTCTGGAGATTGATTTGCCTTGACTTCCTGCAAGGAAAGTGGCCACTCATATTGAAAACTAAATAAAAACCGGAGGCATGTCCAAACTAATAGTAGGCTCAAAGACACCCAGACTGAGAGAACCTGGTTACTTTGTCACACTTTAATAACACAAATAAAATGTACACCAATTCTACCAAACAAATGGCAATTAGGAATTCGTAAAATATGACTGTAATGAAAAACAAACATAATAACGATAATAGCAAGCCTTTTGCTAGATCAGCTTGTTGGCTGGTATCATACCCTAATGTGAATGCTTTTTATGCACTAAAATATTTCACCACTAATATTGTTTACCACACAATTTACTATTACTATTTATTTACGTTGTTCACTGTATTACAACTATACATTTTATATTGCCGTTTTTAATGCAATGAGATTAGTGTTTTATATTTAATATTTTAAATAAAGAAAAGAATAAAGTTCCAAGAATACCGTAAAAAATTCTTTAACTGTATTTGAAAACATTACAACAGTCAATAGTGAAAGAAGACTTCCCTTACTGGCCACGTCTCAGGTAGACTGCACATTTCTTGTGCAGCTGGATGTTGGAATCATGAAAAATGTATAGTTTGCATTCTGCAAAATTGATTTGCTGAAGTCAAAAACACAGACCGTTATTGGGAACAGTGTGAGTGTCGCTTGCTGTGAGGTCGGAGCGACAGCCGGCAGAGCATTTCACTTGGTCTTTGTGATGGCCCTTGTGGCATGCACGTAGATTTATATTTAGTTTTATTTACTTATTTCTGTCGTTTAATTTCTGTAGTTTTATGTACTTATTTCTTCAGATTTATATTTAGTTTTACTTTATTTGGATTTGATTTAATTATTATTTAGATCTGTAGTTTGGTTTGGCTTAGTTTATTGTTGTTTATGCCTTTCCCTTCTTGTTTATTGTGGACTAGTCCCTCCTGTATAAATGTGCTGTGCTCTGTCGTGTCAATTAAGAGAGTTCTGTTTTTGGTTTACACATGGTTTAAACTTCAGATTTTTCAATTGGTTTTATTATTTTATTTATTTGTTGAATTTTTGTGTAAACTTTTTTGATTATTATTATTATTGTTAATAAAAATTTTCATTTTGAACATCTTTTTCTATGCCCCTTATATGTGCTGACCCAGTCCCTCACAGTCTTAAAGCCCTGCTATTTCAACTGTTATTTTCACAATTCATGATGGCACAGCAATTAAATACAATTTGAATGCATTCTTTATGATGCAAACTGAGACTGCATCTCTCAGCGATGCAATGTCAGACACAATGCACTTAATGGAGCTAGTGACGGGGTACCCATTAAAAAGCATTGCATGCAGCTCAGATTGCATCTGCACCAGGTCTGCATCCAGACCCCTCTCATTAAAAATGGGACACAGAAACTCACGTGTGAAACAAAAATATTACTTGGACTTTTTGTCTTTTGTGCCATACATGTGCATGTAAATTTGAAAGCTGGAATAAAAAGAAAAAAAAAGAAAAGAAAAGGCACCATTAAAATCATAATACTCATTTTCTGCCTATTGTAACAGAGTGTTAAATCACAGTAAAAGCAAACGGTCTCTTGCATAATAGAAGAACTACTTGTTAAAAAAAAAAAAACTGCAATCAAACAGTCGCGCAATCTCTGCAGTGAGAGGGACCGAGCTGAGTTGTGTTTCTGGACTCTTGGGTGACCAATCATGACTAGTGCCAAATCTTGCTGAAAGAAAAACTGTTCATTATAGGTTGTCAGTACACAGTAACAGCGACGGCTCAAGCGTGCTCAAACACACCCTATCATGAGGCTCATCTGCATTAAATTGGATCATTTTGAGTCCAAAACATATATAATTAACTGATTTACATGAATAATTAAATGTAAAATGAGTTATTTGGGGAGACTATTTTCTTTACAGAGCACATCACATTCCCACATATAAGTGCATTAAAAAACCAGCACCTTAATGACTAAAAGCACATTTTACAAAGCAACAACAGCAACATTCCTCTCACTGACAGATAATTGCATTATTTTTGCATTTATCTTAAGATATGTATGCTAATGCACCACTTTAAATGGTTTTGGTGTTAAAATCAAATTAAACAAGAGATGCTGTTGCTAAATACAAACCTAGAAAGTCTCATCTGCGTATTATATGTCAGTAAATTTCCCAAAAACTCAAATTAGAATGCAAAAGCAGAAAAACAATATCCCAATCTAGCAAGAACAAAACGAAATAGATGTAAGACTGCCAGTTTTTTATGCCTGAATGATGTATCAGCAACGTATAATTGTTCTTGTGATTATGGTTTTGATTATGATTATTATTCATGTGCTTTTCAGCCAGCGACAAGAGAAAACCATGTCCTTGCAGTGCAAAATCTCTCTCATACACCCACACAAAATAAGAGGAAACAGGGGAATCGTACCTGATGAGCCATTTGTAAAGCCCCACGTCAAAGTGTCTGAAAGGCAAAAGACAGAAACGAGTGAACTCAAAGGTTAAACATAAAACACACATACACACACACTTCTGCAGGACATGACACAACACAAACATGTGTTTGATCAGTCAACATCCAGAACAGACAAAAAGAGAAAAGTGAATCTGCATAAATGAGATGCTTGAGGAAACCATTTTAATGAACCTCCGGGGACCAACGTGGTGAGACAGATGTAGCACTGGGAGACATTTTCTCAAAGCGGCTGATCTTAGAACAGTTCTGGCATTTGTCTAGTTGAGCTGTAGCTTGACACTGAGTTTTCAGGTCTAAGACATAAAATCAGACTCGTATAGATCTGGATAGTGGAAATGATGCTTATGAAACTGTATCTATGCAAGCATATTTTTGATCATTTTTCAAGGCAAGACAAGTTATTTATATTGCACATTTCATACATAATAGTAATTTAAAGTGCTTTACATAAACACAAATAAAAAGCAATAAAATAAAAACAACAAAGAATTACAAGTTATTAACAACAGATTAAAATGTGTTAAAACAGGATATAAAAGAATGAAAAAGAGTAGAAAGACATAATAGTGTGATCTGTCAGAAGGCACAGCTAAACATGTGTTTTCAGCCTTGATTTGAATGTGCCTAGTATTAGAGCTCATCTGATCATTTCTGAAACCTGGTTCCAGCAGCTGGGGAGGAACATAGTGGCTGAAGGTGGATTCACTGTGCTTTGACAGAACCCTTGGAACTGTCTGACTGTCTTTTTGGAAAAGCCAATTATAAAGTCCATTACAGTTATCCATTCTGCTGGTGATAAAAGCTTCATAAGTTTTATAAGTAAGTTTTACAAGTCCTCACCAGAACCAAAACATCTAATTCTTGCAATGTTTTTGAGATGATAGTATGCTCATTTACTGCTTAGACATAACTACTGAAATGTAGATGTGACTCCAGAATTACCCCAAGATTTCAGATTTTTAGAAGGTATATATATATATATATATATATATATATATATATATATATATATATATATATATATATATATATATATATATATATATATATATATATACATACACACACACACACACACAGTTGAGGTCAGAATTATTAGCCCCCTTTGAATTTTATTTTCTTTATTTAAATATTTCCTAATTGATGTTTAACAGAGCAAGGAAATTTTCACAGTGTGTCTAACAATATTTTTTTTCTTATGGAGAAAGTCTTATTTGTTTTATTTCGGCTAGAATAAAAGCAATTAAAAAAAATAGATAAAATTTTTAAGGTCAAAATTACTAGCCCCTTCAAGCGAAAAATGTAAAAATCTTCTTCCTGTTAAATATTATTTGGGAAATATTTGAAATGAGGAGAATGTCTTAGAAATACTATAATTATTATACATAAATAATTCAGTAATTTGAAGAAATAATACAATAAATCCATTAATAAATTAATCTAAATGTATTCAAAATTAATGAACATTATACAAGCAAACATACAAATTAAACAAAAATAAATAATAAATCAATACATTAATTTATTATGAATAGATATATACAAACAAATTATGAAGAATAAAATAAAATAATGAATAAATAAACAATCAGGTTGAAATTGGCTGAAATAAATGAAAATAATAAATGATTCATATTATTGCTTAAGAAAAATAACTGGAATCTTTAGAAAATACACTACTGTGTTCTTTTGGACCCTGGCTTTATCAAATACTGTATGTTTCTAACAAACAAGATAAGGTCACACTGGGCTCATTCTTGCTTTTCCTGATCACACATGGTTTCTCATTTTGCTCTTTGACATGTAGCTTGTATCAAACCACCATGACAGCCAAAATATTGATTTGGCCCTTTCTAACTCTCAATTTGTTTCTCGGCAGGACTTTCAGTTCCTCCTGTTTCTCTGAGCAGGTGTGAGCAGATGTCCTCAGGTCATCACTACAGCTACAGTTTCTATTATTATTATCTTCACTTCACCTCCAATCATCCATCTCTCCACATTTCATCCCTCATCCGGCCATAATGCTATTTGCTATCGATCAACTGGTAGTGAAAGGATGGATGAATGGATGGACAGGTCAAAATTCTCATTTTACAATTCAGAGTGAAAAACGGACTAATGTTTAAATGGATGTGGACAGTGTTACAGCTATCTCTTGAGAAACTATCACTGTAGCCAATTAGAGCAAACACACAATGTGAAAGTGACACCAACAGACGGTTTTCTGGCCATAAGGCTTTCAAACAGTATGTAGTTCAGTCTGTCACTTACTGAGTCCAAATACACCCAGACCCAAGAGACAACAGTAAAGAGATGATGCTGCTTGCTTCTAAAAACAGGCCTGTTTGAGGAGAAACGGACACACGCAAGCAGATGGTTGCTCGGAAGCCCTGACATGAAGTTTTCATGAGCACGCGTAAAGCCATCAAACTCATCAGTACCACAAAATTCATCCATCTGGATAAAGAGAGAGAGAGAGCGAATGAGACCAAACAAAAGCGAGAGAGTGTCTGGAGAGGGATGGATTGGGTCTGGGGTCTACGGTACATAATGACTCCTAAATCAAATTGTCCAAGAGCGTTTGATTCATTCCAGCACTTCCCAGCATTCATTAGCAGCTATTGATGAAATCCGCTTCAGCTCTGGGGAAATAAAGTCATCCGGGAAGGCCAGGAGAATAAAAGCAGAAGCGCTTTCATTCCATATTAATGAAACATCATGTGCGGTTGTGCATCTCTTTACCATTTAAGTTCAGAAACGCATTAAAAAATATTTGGCCAGTACACTGGTTGTTCTTTTGAACTCCTAAACAGTTTAAAGGTGCCCTATAATGAAAAACTGGGTATACCTAGGCATCGTCTAATAATAGGAGTTCTATGACATACCATGAGCCTCAAACACCATATTTTCCTTATTCTTAATTCCCAGCAAAAAGCAGGTCAATCAGAACACAACGCAGACTGTTGTACTTTAGGTCACGCTCTACATCATCTGGACATGCCAAGCAGCCATGTCATTAAGACATCAGCCTGATTGTCATCATGTCACCAAAACACAGACTGATTTGTTTCACATGGAATCATTAATATGTTCGTCGATGAATCATTCAATCGAGAGATGTGTTCTAAACATTTGTTTAGGTAAGGAAGCATCTAATATACATGGATCACAGAATCATCCATTCAAGACATTAGTTATAAAAAGCTGTTGCAGTAATAGAACAATTTTTTCAAATGAGTTACTGAAACATTCATTCAAAAGATTTGTTCAAAAACACACTCTTTTAGTGATAAAGCAAGGGAAGTTAAGTGACATATTGGATTACACCAGGGGTCACCAAGTTTGGTCCTAAAGGGGCGGTATCCTCCAGAGATTTGTTCCAACCTTAATCAAACACAATTGAACAATTTAATCAAGTCTTAGGGTTTTATTTTAATGATCTTGGCGCAAAGTCTAAAGCATATGGCGCAAAAGCGTAAAGCGCATGTCCGAATCCACTTTTGCTATTTTAAGAATGGAAAAATACTTTTTGCACCGCGGTACATGGTCTAACAGGATTGTGCTTATTCTCTTAATGAGCTATGAGTGTATTTCGAGAATAAACCAATCAGAGTCTCATCTTCCATTCCCTTTAAGAATCAGTTGCGGCTATGGCGCATTTGCAATTTACAAAACTGAACGCTTCACTAGCGAGAAAACTGTTATTATTGTGCCGGGTGTATGATAAGGCCTTGAGGTATACTTAAAACTGTGTATCTAAACTTTGCAGGACACCGGCCTTCCAGAACCAAGTTTGTTGACCCCTAAATTACACATTTAAGTGGTTTATTCAATAAAAAAAATTAAATAAAAAAAAGTGAAGTTTTAACATGTATTTCACATAATCATGAATTTAAAATATTTCTTGAAAAATGTTGATTAATGAAGCAAATGATTGAGTCACTGAATCAATCAAAAATACTGATTCTTCTAGTTAAACAGGTTATGACTTCATGAGGGAGTCATTAAGCAATTTATTAAATAGATTTGTTCAAAAGCGCTACATATTTAGGTGATGCAATAACTCTGTATGAGAATCACTAATGCGTTTAAAAAATGACAATTCTTCCACTAATGAAACAAGAGAAGTGTTTAGGAGTTATTAATTGAATTAATTATTCAAAAGATTCAAAGCGCTGATTCTTCTGGTAATGAAACTGAAGTTCTCATGAGTATTTGTTTACTTCATTCAAATGGTTTGATATTTTTGGAAATAAATTGAATCAATTAACAGTTTGTTAGAACCTCTTGTTAAATGACATTATTTTGTTTAGTTGTCTTTTCAGAATTGTACCAGCATCGTGATCATTGTTTAAAAAAAAAACTCTGATTCTCGACTTATCCAGAATAATATAGCTCTAGATTTAACTATACTTGTGGGCGACGTGGTGGTGCAGTGGGTAGCATGTTCACCTCACAGCAAGAAGGTCGCTGGTTCGAGCCTCAGCTGGGTCAGTTGGAATTTTTGTGTGGAGTTTGTATGTTCTCCCCGTGTCCTCGTAGGTTTCCTCTGCATGCTCCAGTTTCCCACACAAGTCCAAAGACATGCGGTACAGGTGGATTGGGGATGCTAAAATTGACCGTAGTGTATGAGTGTGTGTGTGTGGATGTTTCCCAGTGATTGGTTACAGGTGGAGGGGCATCCGCTGCGTAAAACATGTACTGGATAAGTTGGCGGTTCAATCCGCTGTGGTGACCCCAGATTAATAAAGGGACTAAGCCAAAAAGAAAATGAATGAATGAATAAATAAACTATATTTAAAGTCACATAAAAACTAATATTGCTACAAGTATTTTAGCTCTTTTCCAGTAAGAACAAACATATTTAAAATGCAATTGCCAATTATGCTAATTAAAATACATTTTAAAAAGCTACAAACCTACATTCCTTCTTTAGAAATTGCAACATTCAGCCTATTTGTATATTTCAGGCCTGCAGCACCACAATA